CTTCAGGCCTAGAATGTGTGTTTCTGATACAAAGTTGTTTATCTTTATTGGGAAACTCTGCCCATCCAGGAACTTTTTCAGAAAATCATTGCTTCCTGCTGAAACCAATTTGGCTCAGTGATAGAGCATCCGTCTGCGGACTGAAAGGTCCCAGGTTCGATTCCAGTCAAGGGCATGTACATTGGTTGCGGGCATATCCCCGGTAGGGAGTGTGCAAGAGGCAGCTGGTCGATGTTTCTCTCTCTCTCATCGACATTTCTAGCTCTCTATCTCTCTCCTTTCCTCTCTGTAAAAAAATCAATAAAATATATTTTTTTTTTAAAAGAAAGAAAGAAAGAAAGAAAGAAAGAAAGAAAGAAAGAAAGAAAGAAAATCATTGCTTCCACTTAAAAATAAATCCTCCCACCTTCTGAGAAGAGTCAGAAAGGCAAGCAGGAGCCTTGCAAGCCCCTTTCGCTGCCCTGCCCCGCCCTCCAGAACCGCCTGTGCTGGCAGGACGGGATGTGGACAGAAGACAAAGTGGCCGTCATGGGGCGGGGGAGGGGGCGTGAGGCCACCACCTCCCTGAGGCTTGGCTAGGCAGCGGCTCTTCTCCGCGGTCCTGTCATTGCCCCGAAGGCCCCTGTGTTCCCAGGTCTCACGTCCCCAAGCGACGTCAGTGGTTAAACTTTCAAAGCCATCACCAAAGAGGCCCCCAAATAGAAGGCAGTGACCGGGCCCTGGTGGTGCAGATTTCTTCGTGTTGGGACTTCCATCTGGGCAGAAGGTTTGCTGCAGGAGAAACAGGAACCTGGAGTAGAGGCGGCTCCGGGCTCGCTCTGCTGGATGAGGGGTGTGGCACTCCAGTTTGCCTTCTCATTACCAAGTGGGGGGTGTTGAGAGGCTGAAATAAGACCAAGGATGAGGAATGAGGAAGTGTCCCTGTGGTGCCAGCAGGCAGTGGGCACAGGAGGGTGGCTGGCTTTTTTGGCTCACGGGGGTTTCTGTACCTTGACTCTCTTCAGAGTGGCCTGAGAGCAACTTGGTTTGCAGATTCATTACCTGGGCAGGTGTTCAAGCCACCTGGGCAATAGCGGTGATAGGTGGTACTGCAGGGCCCCCACCTGGCGTGCCCAGTGTACACACCCATGGCATGGAGGGATCCTAGGATGTCCAGCCCTGAGGGATGCAGCTAATCTCTGAGACAAGGGTCAGTGAGGTGGCCTCTTAATCAGAGCTTCCTGGAGGTGCCTGAGACTGGCCCCTTCCTGTCCTCTGGTGGGAGAGAAGTGGGCAGCGGAGTGTTTATGGCTGCCCATTTCCCTTATTAGAGGCACCACCTTCCCACCCTCCAGGCCCTGTACCCACAGGGCTGTGCTCACTCACCTAAACCAGGGATGGTGCTGGTCTGCACTCCGTGCTGGCATTTTAGAGGGAGAGAGCAGCCTCGAGGGTGCCTGGCACTGGATTTGGGATAAAACAACTGGAAGCTGGGATAATGGATAAGTGGTGAGTTATGAGACATGTGTCCCAGCAAAAAGAACCACTTCACCCGCATGGTTCAGGGTTCGAGCTCAGGCTCCTCCTTCTACCAGCCGCATGGCCTGAAACACTGACTTAGTAGCTTGTCCGTACTGAGTCAGTATCTTCTAATGTGGGGAGCCATCCCCCATCCACTTGTGTAACCCCCAGTTGTGATAACCACAGATGTCCCCAGACATTGCCCATTTGTACCCTGACCAGGGATTGAACCCGCAACCTACATATGTGCTCTGAATGGGAATCGAACCCACAACCTTTTTGGTATAAAGATTGACGCTCCAGCCGGGACTGGTTTTCCTTTTTTTAAAAAAATATATTTTTATTGACTTCAGAGAGGAAGGAAGAGGGAGAGATAGAAACATCAATGATGAAAATCATTGATCAGTTGTCTCCTACACACCCCACACTGGGGATTGAGCCCACAATCCGGGTATGTGCCCTGACCGGAAATCAAACCGTGACCTCCCGGTTCATAGGTTGACGTTCAATCACTGAGCAGCACCGGCTGGGCTGGTTGTCCTTGTTGATCACAGCTGTCCTCGTGTGGGGTAGTTTGCTTCCCTTTGCACTAGGGTGTCTCCTGTCCTCCAGCCTTGTTGTCAGCTTCTGCACTTTACATGGTTCAGGCCAGATTTCACCAATTACGTGAAATGGCCTAAACCAGGGTCTCTTCCCCACCACTACTCCCCACCATACCCTTGGCACTGGGGCCAGTCACTTTGTCGGGGACCCTCTAGGCACTGCATCCCTGGCCCCTCCCCACTCAATGCCAGGAGCACCCCCAGTGAGACAAGCACAGATGTCCTCAGGTATTGCTCAGGGTCCTCTAGGGGCAGGATGACCCGGGTGAGAATACTGGTCCAGGAGTGTTTTATTATATATCCAGATCTGGTGTTAAACGGAAGGCTTTTGGAAGACAGAGCCTGGCCTTCTGCATTAAGTCTTGGTTGAGTGCATGGAGGAAGATGCTGGCCGCCTCTGCCCCGTTCCCTCTGACCCCCGTAATGGGAGAGGCTGGAGTTGACGGTGGTTCTGGAGAAATCTCTTGAAGATCAAGGCCAGGAGCCCTCTGCCCTCGGAGACTTCCTGGGCCCGAGGTGGGCAGGGCCGAGCCTGGAGGAGGCTGTCTGGCCTCCAGGATGTGGCCTGAGCCATGACTCAACTTTCTGAAATCCTCACCCTTAAGCCCTCTTGTCATCTGAGTCACGTCACCTTGGCCCCAGGGACACAGTGTGTAAGTACCAGCTCACTCTCAGGGCCCGGGAAGGACCAGACTTGACTTTGGCCTGCACCCTGCTGCACTGAGCTGGTGCTGTGTTCGGAGTGGACGTGACTTCCCTTTGGCTGAGCCTGGCCTTGGCAGTGCTAGCTCCGTGGATCTTACTCCTGGGCTGTCCTGGGTCCCTTCAAGGACGTGAGGTCCAATCCCCTTAGTTTGTGGTCATTTGCTACCTGGTGCGCTGGGTCCTGACAAACCCAGCCGGCCACAAGTCACAGAAATGAACGCCCACAAGAGAACATCCAGACTGTAGGAGGATCTTGTAAGAGATTTTCAGAGGTTTTTTGAGCCAAACTGAGGACTTGCCTAGAAGCTAGTTTTCCAGGGATTGAGACAATGCTCCGGAGAATGCAGTTTGCAGTTCTTTTGATGCGTTGGAATCAAAGGAGGACAGTAAGGACGGGTAGGGGAAATCGTTGGTGGGAGATTAAGGAGAAAGCTAAGTGGGAAATCCTAGGATGGGGTAAAAGGTAAAATGAAACACGTACTTCTTTTACGTCGGAGGTGCAGGGTATTGACAGCTGTGAACAGGGATGGTGTGTGGACAGCCAGGTAACACTGAGGAGTACACTCTGGTGGGTGGTTACCCTCCTGGGGTCTGGAACAGAGATTGCTCTGACATTTCAAAGGTGTTAGCCAGATGCAGAAGGACAGTGGGCGGGGCTCACTGAACGTAAAGACTGACCTTTGCTAAGGAAACCTCAGGCCTGGGATGTGACCGCCCTCCACAGCCTGCCCGGGGAGGGGATGGACAGATCGTCTTCCATGGTTACTCTTGGCCACTGAGCCTGCCAGGCCTGCCGTATGGCCCCAGGCTCGTCAGTTCTCCTCTGTTGCCCCTCTTTTGTTCACACCACAATTGAAGCAAAGAAAGGGGGGGCGTTTATTATAACATTATAAATGATTATTTATTACCTCTCTCTGGTGAACTCCCCAAGACGCCCAACCCCGCCAGCCCTATGGGCACCCCCCCTCCTGCTTCCTCCACACGCACACTCCCAGGAGGTGGGCCCAGCTGGGCCTGCAGATGGAGACAAGGAGGCCGCAGATTGGCTGGCGCCATCCTCATGGCAGAGTGGAGGCCATATTGGGGTGATGCAGTAGCTGCAGCCTGAGTGAGCAGGGCCTTTGGCTTCATGTTCATTCCATCCCCTCACCTCCGAGTGGAGCTTGTTACTCTCCCACATAACCGAGGAGGAGACGGAGCAAAGCCAGGAGAAGGTGGACTGGGTAGGAGATGGAAGCCTTCGTGGCAGGGGACGCCGGCTGCAGCCCCCAGATCAAGGCTCTGACCCCCAAACATGGCCTGTTCCACAAGCTGGTCCACTGTTCTCAGGTGGTATTCTGGGGTGAATAGTGTGTCCCCCAAACTCATGTCCACCCATTGGAAGTAGGGTCTTTGCAGATATCATCAAAATGATAACAGAAGTCCCTCTGGACTGAGGTGGGCACTAATCTAATGCTGAGGTTTAGATACAGAGAAGCAACAGGATTTTTTCCCTCAGCCTTGGAGGGTGTCATCCCTCAGTGAGCTGGTCCCCTCTGAGGCTCAGAGGGGTGATTGTGCCAGGCTCCTCTCTTGGCTCTGGCCGTGTCGGCGACCCCTTGGCCTGTAGACATGTCACCCCATCTCTGCCTCCACCTCCCTGTGTGTCTGTGTGTTTCCTCCTGTAAGGTCCCTCATCATCTAAGGCCTTCCCAGATGATCCAGGTCGAGCGTATTCCAAGATCCTTAACTTAATCACATATGTGAATGGGGCCTTTTTCCAAATAAGGTCCCAATCCCAGGTCCTGGGGGAGTGGACATCTCTGTTCAGAGGCCACCACTTAGCCCGTTACGGTCACCCTGAGCCGCTGTGCAGGTTTACACACCCTCTCCCGCTTTAGAGAGCGCTGGGTGCTGGCGGGAGGAGCATGCGGCCTGGCTGAATCCTCGGAGGCCTTGACTCAGCACCTCCTGCTCTGAGACAGTGGGGACACACCTGGGGGCACTTCTCTTTACTGAGGAGCCGTAGAACTCAAACCACAAGTCCTGGGAAAACCCCCCGTGCGGCCCCTCATGCTTCCAGAACAGAGTTTGCAGGAACAGGTGATAATTCTCTGTCTGCGTTTCAGATCTCGGGGAAGACCTGGGAGCCGGTGAATTTCCAGTCGCCTCTGGGTTGGTGGCCGACACCAGGAGCGTGCAGCGGGGACCACAATGTCCAACCCCTTCCTGAAGCAGGTCTTCAACAAGGACAAGACCTTCCGCCCCAAGCGCAAGTTCGAGCCAGGCACCCAGCGGTTTGAGCTGCACAAGAAGGCGCAGGCCTCGCTGAACGCGGGGCTGGACCTGAAGCTGGCCGTGCAGCTGCCCTCCGGCGAGGAGCTCAACGACTGGGTGGCGGTGCACGTGGTGGACTTCTTCAACCGCGTCAACCTCATCTACGGCACCATCAGCGACGGCTGCACCGAGCAGTCCTGCCCCGTCATGTCGGGCGGCCCCAAGTACGAGTACCGCTGGCAGGACGAGCACAAGTTCCGCAAGCCCACGGCGCTGTCCGCCCCGCGCTACATGGACCTGCTCATGGACTGGATCGAGGTGCAGATCAACAACGAGGACATCTTTCCCACCAGCGTTGGTGAGTGGGCGGCCTGGGGCGAGGCCGGGGGGGGGGGGGGCGGGTTAATAACAGTTCACTGAGATAGAATTCATAAACCATGAAATCCACCCATTTAAAGTGTAAGTTCAGTGCCGTGTAGTACATTCACAGGGTTGTGCAACCATCCATTCTAATTCCAGGACATATCAGTAACCCCAAAACATCCCCTCATCCCCATGAGCAGTCACCCCATCCCTCTCTCCCAGCCCAGTAACCACCAGTCCACTTCCTGTCCCCTGTGGACATCCCACCTAAATGGAATCACACACTGTGTGGCCTTCGTGTCCAGCTTCTCTCACTGAGCGTCATGTTTCCGTTGTTCAGCCACGTTGTAGCAAGTGTCAGTGCTTCACTCCTCTTCTGACCGAGTGCTATTCCAGTATGTGGATCGGCCATGGTTTGCTTCATGTTAAGGTTCTTGAGATGGGGAGATTGTTCTGAGCCCCAATTTCATCAGAAGGGTCAAAAGAAGGCAGAGGGCCATTAGACACACAGAAGAGAAGGTGATGTGGTCACAGGGGAAGGAAGACATGATCATAAGCCCAGGAATGTCAGCAGCTTTCAGAAAAAGCGGCAAATGGACCCTCCCTGGACCTTCCAAAAGGAGGCAACCCTGCCCGCACCTGACATCAGCCCCATGAAACTGACGGGAGACTCCTGTTCTCCAGGACGATGAGGGAGCACACAGGAGTTATTTTAAGCACTAGGCTGGTGATAATTTTTTACAACAGCCCTCGGAGACCCACACACGGGCCCTTCTCACTGTCACCATTGGCATCAACTCAGCACCATGGAAAACGGTGAACAGTTTTCAGGAACCAGCCCTTGGTTGCTGACGGGGTCAAGTTTCTCACCCTTCTGGACCTCACTCACCCTCTGTCCGGGGAACGGGCCTGCCACTGGCAGAGGGCTCTCAGAGGCCCATCTGAGGAAAGACCGACTCAGAATAGATTCTTACCCAAAACAGGGATTCACAGGTGCCCCCACCCACCCATCAGGCCGCTGAGTCTGTGCTCTGGCCCTGGAGTCCGTGTCTGCACAAGCTCGTGTTCTCACTCAACGCCTCCCGGGTCCCCCCCAAGTCCTGACAGCTCCTTATGGTCCTCATCCTAGAACTTAGACCCTGAGTCCTCTAGTCAGTGCCTCGCCTGTGGAATGATAATTCTAGCAGTTTTACCAAAGAGGAAACTGATGACCAATTGAGAGAAAATGAACTTGGCAGCTCTACCCTGTTTGGCTCAGTGGATAAAGTATCGGCTTGCAGACTGAAGGGTCCCAGGTTCAGTTCCAGTCAAGGGCGCATGCCCAGATTGTGGGCTCGATCCCCAGTAGAAAGCTGCAGGAGGAAGCCGATCAATGATTCTCTCTCATCATTGATGTTTCTCTCTCTCTCCCTCTCCCTTCCTCTATAAATCAATAAAAAAATATTTTTTTTTTTTAAAAAACGAATTTGGGCTGAAACCTGTTTGGCTCAGTGGATAGAGCATCAGCCTGCGGACTGAAAGGTCCCAGGTTCGATTCCAGTCAAAGGCATGTGCCTTGAGTGCAGGCACATCCCCAGTAGGGGTGTGCAGGAGGCAGCTGATCAATGTTTCTCTCTCATCCATGTTTCTAACTTTCTATCTCTCTCCCTTCCTCTCTGTAAAAAAAAATCAATAAAACATATTTAAAAACAAAAACAAAAAAACAAATTTGGCAGATGCCACATGGCTGCCAGACGGGTCTGAGGCCACGCCACCAAACTGAGGCCCTCTGTGGGCCCAGGCCGCCGCCACGTGGCCACATCACGGGGTCTGGGTTCACTGCTGCTTTCCTTGGGAGCCTGTCTGTCCTGCCCTGTTTGCAAACCCCAGGCCTCAGCCTGTTTTGACCCCCCAGCCAGGCCAGTGGAATAAAATGCTTTGCACGGACAGCAGCATCTCTGCTTCTTGTCGGTGGTACTTCTGAGACCCAGAGTCTGTCAGTCTCCCTGGGTTAGATTTATGGCTGAGCAAAGAAAGGACGGGTCCAGATTTTCTCCCCGTCTCCCATACCTGTGCCATGACATCTGTGCACCACTTAAGCCCAAGCCACCAGCTCATGCTCTTTGATGTTAGATTAGGGTGGCACACTTTTCCCGTAAAGGACTACACGGTAGTGTTCATTGGCACTGCTTACAGAGGTGGCAGCCATCTCCTGCTTGACATCATGGCTTCCCTCAGACCCCTCGTGAAATCTAAGATTGTCAAAAAGAGGACCAAGGCCCGGCCAGCGTGGCTCAATGATTGAGCCTTGAGCTAGGAACCAGGAGGTCACAGTTCAATTCCCGGTCAGGGCACATGCCCAGGTAGCGAGCTTAATCCCCAGTAAGGGGTGTGCAGGAAGCAGCCTATCAATGATTCTCTCTCATTGTTGATGTTTCAAAGACCTCCATCTCCCGTCCTCTCTGAAATCAATAAAAATAGATATACTTTTTAAATGAGGACCAAGAGCCGAAACCGGTTTGGCTCAGTGGTAGAGCGTCGGTCTGCGAACCCGGTCCCGGGTTCGATTCCGGTCAAGGGCATGTACCTTGGTTGCGGGCATATCCCCAGTAGGGGGTGTGCAAGAGGCAGCTGATCGATGACTCTCTCTCATCGATGTTTCTAACTCTATCCCTCTCTCTTCCTCTCTGTAAAAAATCAATAAAATAAATAAATAAATAAATAAATAAGGACCAAGAAGTTCATCCAGCATCAGTCAGACCAAAATGTCAAAATTAGTGTAACTGGTGGAAACCCAGAGGCATTGACTATGGAGTGCACAGCAGATGCAAGGGCCAGATCTTTTTCTTTTTTTTCTTTTTTTTTTTTTTAATATATTTTATTGATTTTTTACAGAGAGGAAGGGAGAGGGATAGAGAGCTAGAAACATCGATGAGAGAGAAACATTGACCAGCTGCCTCCTGCACACCACCCAATGGGGATGTGCCCGCAACCAATGTACATGGCAAGGGCCAGATCTTGATGCCCAGCGTTGGCTATTGGAGCAACAAAAAAACAAAGCACATGCTGCCCAGTGGCTTTCGGAAATTTCTGGTCCACAGTGTCAAGGAGCTTGAAGTGCTGATGATATATAATAGATCTTACTGTGCTGAGATGCTCACAGTGCCTCCTCAGAGACCCACAAAGCCACTGTGGAAAGTGCAGCCCAGCTGGCCATCAGTCACCATTCCCAGTGCCAGTGAAGAAAATGAATAGACAGAATGTATTTGTGTTAATAAAAGCATAAAATTCTATGGAAAAGAAAAGGACCACACAGTATATCTCTCCACCTTTATGGCCCAGAAGGTTTATGTCTCAACTCTCAAACCTGCCATCTAACCCAAAAGCTGTCATAGATACTGTGTAAACAAATAGCGGGCCTGTGTTCTAAATAAAACTTTATTTACAAAAGCAGGCAGTGGGCCAAATTTCAGCCCCTGCATGAAAATACTATTGCATGCTTAGGCTATACAGTCCTGGAGATTACATTTCTTTCTTTCATTCTTTCTTTCTTTCTTTTTTTTTTTTTTTAATTCATTCTTGAGGACATATTTAGAGAGAGAGACATTGACCAATTGCCTTCCATACTGCTCCAACTGGAAATCAAAAACCAGAAACCCTGGCCTGTGCTCTAACTGGGAATCAAACCAACATCCTTTAGGTGCACAGAATGATGCTCAACCAACCAGGCCACTCTGCCCATCTCTAAGCCCTACTCCTAGGATGAGCTGCTCTTACTCACTCCCCTTCCCCAGCATCACCCTCGCCGACTCCTGATAGCCCCTCTCCGAGGGAACACAGAGCCATCAGTTCTCACGTGGAGGAGGTCATCTGGCCCCAGATTCAGAGGCGTGGACAGAGCCAGGCTGGTCCTTCGATGTACAGTGAGCCTGTTCTTTCCCAGTTGCCTTTAACGGGACACAGGTCAGACCTTCCACGGTGGTGCGCAGCTGTGCTGGCTCCCGTGTCGGAGCTTCACGTCCCAGTTTGCTGCGGGCCCTGTACTTCCAGCACACGGATATCCTGCGCTCCCCTGGACTTCACTGGCCGTCACTCAGCCATCCACAGGCCCAATAGCCCCAGTGCTGCCCCATCTCCTCAGAGTGAGAGTCTGGTCACCGCAGCTTTCCCATGGCCTTCTGTCCTCACCGGCCCCGAGCCCTCTTCGAGGTGGGCTGAGCTGGCCCGGGCTCCGCCGGTTAGAGCATCGTCCCGATCCACCAAGGTTGTGGTTACATCTCCGGTCAGGGCAACGAGCGAATGCATAGATAAGTGGAATAACAAAACTATGTGTTTCTCTCCTCTCTCTCTCTCTCTCTCTCTCTCTCTCAAATCAATTTAAAAAACAAAAAGGATGGGCCAGTCTGTCAGTCCTGGCCCCAGGCTACCTACCTGGTAGCACTGGTTGGACCTCATGAACATGTGGCTTCTGTCTTGCCTGTGGGACGAAGGGGGCTTGAGGTCTTGGGGGGTAGCAGGCAGGAGCCGAGGAGCCCACGGCACAGCAGCATGGACGTGCCACAGGCACCAAACTGTCGCCTGGAATGACTCAGATTGGGAAGCTCAAGGTGGGTGTACGTCACCACAGTTTTTTAAAGCAAATACAATAACAGGAGGAAAAATTGCAACATGGTGCATGGATTCAGTTAAGCTCCGACAAGTACATGGAATTATTTATAAAAACATATGTAAGCCTTGGCCGGTGGCTTGGTTAGTGTTGTCCTGTGCACCAAAAGGTTGCAGGTTCCATCCCTGGTCCAGATGCGTGCTGGAGGCAGCAGCCAGTGTTTTTCTCTCACAGTGATGTCTCTGTCTGTCTCTCTCTCTCTCTCACTTTCTCTCTCTCTTCCTCTTTCTCTAAAACTCAATAAAGCTGAAACTGGTTTGGCTCAGTGGATAGAGCATCTGCCTGCGGACTGAAAGATCCCAGGTTCGATTCCGGTCAAGGGCATGTACCTTGGTTGTGGGCACATCCCCAGTAGGGGGTGTGCAAGAGGCAGCTGATCAATGATTCTCTCTCATCGATGTTTCTAACTCTCTGTCCCTCTCTGTTCCTCTCTATAAAAAAATCAATAAAATATATATATATTTTTAAATCAATAAAAACACCCTCGGGTGAGGATTTTTTAAAAACTACTTATGATGGAGAGAAAGATACCAAGTGGAAAATATTAAAGGTAAAAAAAATGTTCTTAGGGGTTGTCCCATTCTATTAAAAAAAAAAAAAAAAATGTTACTAGAAAAACACACTGGTTTGGCTCACAGGATAGAGCATCGGCCTGGGGACTGAAGGGTCTCAGGTTTGATTCCAGTCAAAGGCATGTGCCTTAGTTGCGGGCATATCCCCAGGAGGAGGTGTGCAGGACGCAGCTGACCGATGTTTCTCTCTCATCGATGTTTCTAACACTCTCTCCCCTTTCCTTCCTCTCTGTAAAAAATCAAAAAGAAATACACACGTACACATGGCCAGATCCCGAAGTGCATATAGCAGATCCACAGTCTGCACACGTGGTTGGGAATAAAATGTTGGTCTAGGTTCTGGGAAAGGAACTAGGCAAAGGCAAAAGGAATGTGTGGCACCCAGCACATTCCAGGGAGGCGGACCAGCGGGCCAGAGCGCTGACGGTACCCTGAGCCTGGGCTTTTCCTCCAGGCCTGCCCTCCTCCGTTCCCGGGCGTAGTTAGGCAGCCAAACGTGGGTTTCTCGTGGCATTTCAGTGGGCTCCCCGGAGCTGGAGCTGAGAGGACCAGCGTGGGGGTCAGGAAGCCGAGGGTCCTGGAGAAAGGGGCTCCTTCCTGGGGACAGACACCGCCCACCCAGCCAGCACTTGACTTCAGGAGGAACCGGGACATGAGCTGTCTGAGCGAGGGCGGGTCTCAGGCCCCACTGGGCCCGCGGCTGCTTCCTGAGCGCCCCGCCCTCTCGCTGTCCCCAGGCACGCCGTTCCCCAGGAACTTCCTGCAGGTGGTGAAGAAGATCCTGTCCAGGCTCTTCCGCGTGTTCGTGCACGTCTACATCCACCACTTCGACCGCATCGCTCAGATGGGCTCCGAGGCGCACGTCAACACCTGCTACAAGCACTTCTACTACTTCGTCAAGGAGTTCGGGCTCATCGACACCAAGGAGCTGGAGCCGCTGGTGAGGGGCCGGGAGGGGGCGCTGGGGCCAGAAAGCGTTCTGTGAGTCGTTTTATTGGCACGCCCAGCCGTTCTCTCACTCCTGCTGCTTTCAGCAACGGGGCCGAGGTGAGCAGCCAGACACCCCCTGGCCTCTGAGCCCGTGGTTCACACAGCTTCCCACCCCAGCCCGAGGCGTGCTGCTGTCTGTCCCCCATTCTGTGAGGTTTGGCCTTAAGTGAGGCCCCGAGTCTCTGAGACCGCACCCCTGCTTCTCTCTGTGTGTGTGTGTGTGTGTGTGTGACACCGGCACCTCGGTGTCAGTCCCTGATGCCCTGCTTGTTGTGTGTGTGTGTGTGTGTGTGTGTGTGTGTGTGTGAGACACCGGCACCTCGGTGTCAGTCCCTGATGCCCTGCTTGTTCTTAACAGAAAGAAATGACCGCCCGGATGTGCCACTGAGCGCCTGGCCCGCTGTCACCGGAGCAGTGCCAGGGCATTTCGACCGGAGGGCCCTTCCCGGAACATGGACCCTGGCTGCCCTGGCCGCCCTGGCCGCTCGGTGACCTCCACAGCTGTCAGTGGTGACCTCGGCGCCCCCAGTGCCGCACTGGACACCGGGGCTGAGTCCTCTCTGATTCTGAGACGCCCGCAGCTGTGGCCCATGCACCACGCGCCCAGCCTCCCAGAGCCCCACGGGGGAGCTTGAACTTGAACTCTGTGGTTCTGTGTGCTGTGAGCAACTGGGAAAATCCACTCTATCTGTAAAGCACTTGGATCTGCCTGGAGGCCGGAACTCTGCCTGCCCTTCGCAGGTCTGTCCCTCATGCCCCTAGCCTGCTCGCCCAGGAGAGGACAGACTGTCGGCAAAACAGGACCCACCTCTGCTGGGCTTCAAGCCTCAGTTCCCTCGCATGCCTCCTGAGCCCATGTCTGTCATGAGAGGTACGGACGTGCCCCTGGCTCCCCCCTCCTCTCTTCCTTAGTCCCTCTGTTCCTTCCGGGCATCCAAAACGTCTGGCTCACCCGCCAGGGTTTCCGGACCCCACGTCTGCACCCCAGGTTCCACATATCATAAAAGATCAAGTTTCTGTTTATTTTTATATTTTTGTTAATACTCACCCGAGGATATTTTTCCCATTGATTTTTTTTAGAGAGAGTGAAAGGGAGGGAGGGAGGTGGAGAGACAGAGAGAAACATAGATTGGTTGCTTCCTGCACACACAGTTAACGGGGTTGGGGATCAAACCTACAACTCAGGTACGTGCTCTTGACTGGGAATCGAACCTGCAGCCCTTTGGTCTGTGGGTCTAACCAATTCCAGCTGGGGCAAAGATTGAGGTTTTCATACAGTCGCACTGATAACCACCTTGAGATGGATGTTAAAGGAAAACAGCTCTTTATCTATAAACTAGAGGCCCAGTGCACGGAATTCATGCACTGGGGGCGGGGGTGGTCCCCTCAGCCCGTCCTGCACCCTCTCACAGTCCAGGAGCACTTGGGGCAGTGGGACATCCTTAGCGCTGCTGAGGAGGTGGGAGAGGCCCACCGTGAGCCCGGCTTCTGGCTGAGCAGCACTTCCCCCTGTGGGAGCTCAGTGACCACCAGGGGGCAGCTCCTGCACTGAGCATCTGCCCCCCTGGTGGTCAGAGTGCGTCATATCAATGGGTGGTTCTGCCATTTGGTCAATTTGCATATTAGCCTTTTATTATATAGTATAATGAACTCACCTCCTCTCTAGACAAACACCCCTCAGTTACGAATAACCCAGATGACCCTCCCACAGGACCTGTCCTGGATTTGGGGTCTCTGAAGTTGGCCTTTCCTCGGGTGCCTGCCCTTTATATGAAACCCGTGGCGTGGCCCTTCGTGGCCAGGCGGCCTGAGTCCCGGCATTGTCCCCTGAAGAACACGGGCATGTGGCCAGGCACGGAGTGACCTCAGGGAGTCATGAGCTGCCCCCGTTCCCAGCTCCCTGCATCTCAGTCCTGCCCTCAGGGCGCAACAGTGGCCTTTCCCATGGCAGCCCCCCCGCCACCCACACCCACCTCTGAGGACCTTAGGTGTCGGGGACGCCCACAGAGAGAGGGGCACCATCTCCCAGCACCAAACAAGTGCAATTAACACAGCCTCAGCCTCGTCCTGGGTACCACCGGCCGAGCTCCCAGACCCCGGGAAGACAGGCCTTAAGGAAAACCATCCAGTCGAATGTAGCTCCTTTTAAATACAAACCACAACCAAACACCAGAACCACTGTGTCCACCCAGGTCTCCGCCAGTTCCCCTTGGCCCCGCCGGCCGGGGAAGGGAGCGGGGACTCCCTCCCCACTCTCTGTGCCTGTGGGTATTCCCACACGAACATCAGAATAAATCGTGTCATTTTCATACCCGCGGCTGCTGGCTGTCGTTTGTCTTCCTGGCAGGGGCCTTCTGTCCGAACACATCACTGTCATTGTCGCCGGGGTGCTCTCATCCCGAAGCAGCTGGTGGCCCGCCAAAGCACCCCCAACAGATAACCCAGTGCACAGGATGGGGGTGAGTTAGGATTTCATGGGGTGCAGGGTGGGGCTATTAGAATAAAAATGTCAGAAACGGGTTGAGGAATGCCATAGGGGAGCTGGGCTTTGCGTTCTCGTCTAGATTACTTCTCGCACCTACCCAAGGTAATCTAGCTCTATGGCTTTTTGCCATGTGAGAGAAGCTTCCAGAAAACATTGGACTGAGTGCCGAAGAATGGTTGAGAAGGAACAGAGGGATGTTCCTGTTCCAGCCATTATTATTTTTTAAAATATTTTTATTGATTTCCGAGAGAGAAACATCAAGGATGGGAATCACTGATCGGCTGCCTCCTGCACGCCCCCTTCTGGGGATCAAGCCCACAACCCAGGCATGTGCCCTTGACTGGAATGGAACCTGGGACCCTTCAGTCTGCAGGCCGACGCTCTATCCCCTGAGCCAAACCAGCTGGGGCCCATTCCAGTCATTATTAACTGCAGCCTTGGACACAGGACGAAGTGACACAAACTTTTCTTTCATAAGTGAAAAATGGGAGCAGACATCTTACTCTCAGGGGCCTTTGCAAGTGTGAAATGTCATTATTTTAGGGCCAGTGGGATTTGGTTTTTGCAAGGAGCAGGCGGTGCTCCTGGAGTGGGCGCAGGTGGGGAAGAGGCGCCTAACGGATCCGGCCTCGCAGAGCCACGGGGTGGATTGGCAACAAAGAACCTGCGGGCGCAGTATGGCTCCCGGCCGCCAGAGGGCGTGCTGACACCGTGGGAGGGAGGTGCTTCGCTTCAGAGTGGAGGGATTCCATGTTGCTTGGAAATACCTTCTAAAGAAGCCATTGTCTCCTTACCCTTTGCTTTTCCCTCAGTAATTTCCAGGACCAGGGGAAGGATTTGGGAGCTGTTATTGTTATTTCAACAGCCCCCATCCCAGTTCAGGGACCTGTGGACACGTCACCCCACGTGAAAAGGGGACTCCCAGAGAGAATGATCTGAGAGGGGGATGACGCTGGGTTCCCAAGGGGCGGGTGGGACAATGTCTTCACAGGGTCCTCAGAGGAGGAGGCAGGAGGGTCAGAGTCAGAGATGGAAGAGACGGAGCTGCTGCCTTTGATGAGGAGGAGGGGCCACAAGCCAGGGGGGTGGGGCCTCTAGAAGCTGGAAAGGCCTGAAGCAATTCTCCCTGGAGCCTAAGGAAAGGCCAGCCCTGCCCACGCCTGGGTTTAGCCCCATGGAACTAACTCCTGAACCCGGAGCTTTAAGGGAATAAACACATTATTTAAGTCATTGAGTTGGTGGTCATTGGTTACAGCAGTCACAGGAGAGTCGTACACCCTCTAGGAAGAAATGCTTTGCAGCCCGGCCAGTGTGCTCAGTGGTTGAGCTTCAACTTAGGAGCTAGGAGGTCACAGTTCAATTCCTGTCAGGGCACATGCCCGGGTTGTAAGCTCGATCCCAAGTAGGGAGAGCACAGGAAGCAGCTGATCAATGATTCTCTCTTATCATTGATATTCCTAACTCTCTCTCCTTCTCCCTTCTTCTCTGAAGTCAATAAAAATATATGTAGAAAAAGAAAGAAAAAAAAGTCCCCACCTGCAGGGGCTACTGTGAAGGGAAGGGCTGAGGAAGAACCTTTCATTCGAATTTAAGCAGGAACCTGCAGCTAGAGGCCGCCCTGTGGACCGCAGGGTGTAGGACAGCGCCCGCCCTGGTGCGGAAACTTTCCGTGACGTGACGGGGGCTCCGGATCTAGGATGGCCCCACTGAGGTCTTGAGTTTCTGGAAGAACAGCTCTTAGATACATCAGAGGCTCCCTCTGCCTCGTTCTGCCGTTCTTTGTCCCATTCTCTGTCCATCCACAGCCACTCCGAAATGATAGGCCCTTGGGTACAGGCCCAGCAGGGTACAGGGCCAGCTAGTCTCGTCCACGCTGAACACTGTGGTTCCTTCCACCACCGCCTGTATGACTAGATTCCCAGGCACTTACCTGCCCCCATTCTCTCTCCTGGTAGGACAAGTTTTGGGATGAACTGTCCTGTTGGGACGAGTGACTCTCGGGGAGTCTTTCAGAAGCTCACTTCTAAATTTTTTTTTAATTCTCACTCAAGGAGTGAGGACATTTTTCACTGATTTTTGGAGAGAGAGAGAAACATCCATGTGAAAGAGACACGCTGACTGACTGCCTCAACAGGGTATGGGGATTGAACCTACAACCAAGGTATGTGTCCTGGGCCAGAAATTGAACCTGTGACCCTAGGGCTCACCTCTAATTCTCTTTTTCCAGGAGAACCAAGTTAATAGGAACCAGGGTGTTCTGTGTGCAAAGCATTTCCTTTCTTTTAAAAAAATTTTTTTATTGATTTCGGAAAGATAAGGAGAGGGAGAGAGAGATAATAGAAACATCAGCAATGAGAGAGAATCATTGATCCGCTGCCTCCTGCACCTATGCACCACCTCCCCCCACACACACTGGGGATCAAACTGCAACCCAGACATGTGCCCTTGGCCAGAATCGAACCTGGGACCCTTCAGTCCACAGGCTGAAGCTCTATCCACTGAGCCACGCCGACTAGGGTACTCATATAATTTTTTAAATTGAGCTATAAGTCCCATGCCATAAAATTCACTATTTTAAAGTGAACAACTGAGTAATTTTTAGTACATTCCCCAAGTTGTGCAACAATCGCCATCAAATTCTAGAACATTCTCAGCACCCCAAAAAGAAACCTTGTCCTTCTCAATAGTCACTCACACCCCTCCCCCAGCCCCTGGCATGCAGGAACCCACTTCCTGTCTCTAAATACGAGCCTGTTCTTGACGTTTCACATCCGCTTGTGTCTTTTTATTTTTTATTGACTTCAGAGAGAGAAAGGGAGAGAAAGAGAGGCATCGATTTGTTGTTCTACTTGATAAATTCACTGGTTGATTCTTATATGTGCCCAGGCGGGGGGATTGAACCC